ACAATTGCTTCTCTATCTTATTACCTCGACTGTACCAAGTGTATCGCATCGTCGAAATGGCAAAAAGAGAATACAAAAGAGGAGGAAAAAAACACCCTGTAGAAGATGAGATCGTAGATTAGATGCTGCCGCCGCTAGATAACATCTCTCTGGTTCGTAGGCAGAGCTTGATTAAAGGAAACTCGCCGGTGCCTAGGTCAGGCGTGCACGGCGTGAGTTCTCCTAGAGGTGGAGTCCAAATGACATTTGCAATAACACGATGTACCTAGTTCGATTTCCAGTCGAAATCTTTTATTTTTTAATTAGAATTACCATAGGTAATTCAGTTTAACCATGGATTTTTATAAAAATACCATATAATAAAAAAAACGGCGTCAAAGACGGCTGGGAATGACAATCGATAATAATTTTGGCAAGGTCAAGCTCTAGACGCCATTTACTTGGCCCGTATTTTTCTTTATTTTTGTAATGGCGCTTACTGCCAGCTGGTCTTAAGAAGGTTGTAATCTATTTTTTATTCAGTAAAATGATTTTTAAATTGTGTAGTTTAAAATTCGATCATACGAAAATATATTCTCTTATTTATCTCGATTTTTGACCAAAATCCACAGCACGTTGCCCAACGTTGCGTTTGACGATACCACTATGAAATAAAAAATATTTATTATATTCTCATTTAAAGGAATTAGGTACAATAAACATGCTACACCGGCATGTGACGCAGATGGTAGAGTCAAATAGCCGATTAAGCACTTAAGTATTACGAAACTATATACAAATGCGTTAGTTTTAAACAATGCGCTAACCTCAGACAGTTAAATTATTAGTAAACTAAGAGGTTATCCCGTTAGTTTCAGTGGTGTGCAGAATCGATTCTTTTTGTTCTAAGTTTGGCAAAGTAATAAAATAAGAATAGCATAAGTAATTAAATTACGTAAACAATGTAATTATCTACTCTTAAATTGGGGGAAACACTTCAGATTTAGCATCACCGCGCAGGTCAGCGGACGTCGGCGAAATTAAATCATGCGATACTTTCTTATTCTATCACTTTCTTACACGTTGTCATCAGGGTTGCCACAAGCTACACATTTGTGTACTTGGTCACTGATTGCACAGCTACACCACAATCGGCTGAGCTACACCATTTTGAGAATTTACATATTTCTTATAAGAAATAATACCAGAACAATAAATCAGCCGACAAAAGCTGATCTTTTTGCTTTTAAGTTATCCAAGTTTCCAAGTTAGTCCATGAAAAGAGGCCGCAAGTGTACAGGGTGGGTCAAATTCGACGCTTTTAAATGGAAACACTCTTTTCTATAGGAGATAGACAAAAACTAATATCGGTGTCTGGAGTTCAATTTTTGTCAAAAACATGATGGTGAAAACCGCACATCAATATCTGTTACCGTTTCGGAGTTACGGGGTGTTTTTCAAAAATATGCATTTTTAACAAATCGCTGTAACTTTTTTGCTATGGAAAATTTTGTATTTTTATGAAAACATTTCCAAAGCACCTTTTTACGTAGAATTCAATGGTTTAAATATAATTTTTTTAACATTAATAATTTAAGAATTATTAACAGAAAATTTGATTTTTTATATGTAACACCCTGTATATTTTTAATTTATTAAAAATAATTTAAAATTACCTTTCCACACTCGATATTTTGCTCGATTCCTCTTCGAGATATAGAGTATAATATAAAAATTCGCTCGCTTTAAATAAGTAGGCTTTGAACGGCACAATGCAAAAAAAAATTCTAGCTGTGAGCATCAATTAAAACGAAAATAATATTTGCTATGAGAGATGCAGAATTTTATAACAATTTAAAATATATTTAACCAACATCAACACATTTAAACTATATTTAATAACAATAAAAATAAATAGCAAACCAAGACATGAGATTTTGCTACAGATGTTAGACATATCGACCGTCTTCTGTTATGGACAGACGGGGCAGTTTTTGAACATTTCTCGCGGAATTCATTAACTCAGTGTGGGTGAAAGATACCTTTTCATAACTGCTAAGTATTTCTAATTTTTGTCTAGATTATACGGAAAAATAAGGAACCTTTATTCTTCGCAAATATATTCATAGGATTAGATCCATGGGCACTAAGTCAGGCGGCCTCGACGGCCAACGGCTGGGATCTTGGTTAGCTATTCAATTATTCTTGAAATTGGCTGCAAAAATTTGCTGATAACTTCAGCGTTCAGTGGCGGAGCGTCGTCTTGCTAGAAAAATATGTTTTCGAGTTCCATTAAGGGCATATCATCAATAAGGGGTCCAAAGCCTACTAATTAAAAGTGGCGAACTTCTAAAAATTCTGTATTTCGAAGGGGATTAAAACAAAATATCAAGTGTGCTATATTTTTGGAAAGGTAATTTTAAATTATTTTTAGTTAATTAAAAATACAGAGGGTGTCCCAAATAAAAAATCAATTTTTCTGTTGATAACTCTTAAATTATTAATTTTAAAAAAATTATACTTAAACCATTAAATTCTACGTAAAAAGGTGCTTTGGACATGTTTTCATAGAAATACAAAATTTTCCATACCAAAAAAGTTACAGCGATTTGTCAAAAATGCATATTTTTGAAAAACACCCCGTAACTCCGAAACGGTAACAGATATTGATGTGCGGTTTTCACCATCATGTTTTTGATGAAAATTGAACTCCAGACACCGATATTAGTTTTCGTTTATCTCCTATAGAAAAGGGTGTTGCCATTTAAAAGCGTCGAATTTGACCCACCCTGTACTTTAAATTTTGAACTGACAAATACAATTTTCTGTCATCAGTGTTCAGGTGTTCAGTAAAATGTCAGAGTTAACTGGGCCATGAGTCAAGGACTGATAGACAAGAGCCAAAAAGAGTAAATAGATAGGATTGCTTAATCCCTTAAATAGTACATAACACGTACTTTGTTCTAGTTCTCTCTAGTTTACAGTTACACTTCCACTCGTTTGCATACGTGATTATTATTCAATTCCTATTTGACTTCCACCCATATCAGAAAGGACTGCACTGCACTTTCTATGGACAAATTTATTTATATAGACGGTTAAAAAAACGGTCCATAAAATTGTTAGTTTTGCGGCATCGATTTTGACGTCACTGTTCTGTTTGCTGGCATGAGAGGAAATAAATATATTGACGTATACAAACCAGTGGAAATGAGACTCGTAATCATGCTTTAAAATTTGGCGAACGTACGTCTTATTGGATAGTTTACAGTTATTCGTCATGGATGGCTACACAATGTTACACAGTTTTATGGTCAAGTTCTGCATAATCAAAAATTTTCTTGTGGAAACCCTGGTTATTATTCCAGTCATTAAGGTCTGCATCAGATTATATGCAAGCGCACATAGAGTGGCTACGACAAGACCCAGGTAATAAATGTCATCCACAGAATCAAATCCCCCAAGTAGTAATGGGCAGGATACCTGGCAAGAAGGACGGACAACAGGTGGGTCAAAAAAATTACAATATGGTACCCACGAGGAATTAAGAGACCTAGAACAAGACCAAACTTGAAATCATGCTATTAGGAAATTAGCAGGGATAACTTGGGCCCGCATAGCCAACAATATAGGCACAACTACAAAGAGATTATCTAAATATGTGACGGTAAATGGTTGAATAAGCTGAAAATGAAGGTGATGATGATATGCACGCCACTGGTTATTTTATATTATGATAAATGTTCTAAATTAATTACTAGGCGCGCGGGATCGTGCAAAAAAAAACGTCGTTCGTTAAACATCCGCGATAAAGTTGTAAATGTCATAGACTAGCTCGCTCTAATGGAAGTATTTCTCGCAAGGTTCATCGTTGTAGGCCGTAAAAATGATTGAACAGGATATAAAAAAGTCGCATCGTGAGTAAGTAGTAAAATACTAGAAGTGAAAGTTAGAATTTATAAAAAAAACACTTTATATTTGTTTAATGGAGGATTTTAAACATTTTAGATTTCTATACTTTATCGAGGTTTTTACGGAGAAAAAATTGGCGCCGGGAGGCACGCATACTAAAATAGCCGCCCATACTAAAATATGCTAATAAAAAGTTTGCAGGCAGTTTTAGTTTTGTTATGTTATTACAAATTTTGTTGCAAATATTATTCCTAATCTTAAATTGAAAACCGCGTTTCGCTAGCTACTGTAATTTTGGAGTTACGATTTTTTAAAATTTTTAACCCCCTCCCATACCCACTTATTACCAACCCCCCACCACCAAAAACTAATGGCCAGATTCTCGGATGCCACACTAGTTTTGTGCCAAATTTGGTTAAAATCGGTTTAGCGGTTTTTGATTATCGTGTTACAGACGGACAGACAGACAGACAGACACCATGAAAATATTTTGTATTTAGGTCATTTATGACCCAAATAATTCATTTTGAGTGAAATTAAACAAACTTTTTTTTGCCGATATTAATAGCCTACCATACCTGTTGGTATGGTCGGCTAAAAATAAGTGTACCACATTCTCTATGACTGTGACTTACTCAGAGACTCAGTGATTATAGAAGAGTAGGCTTGTTCAAAATTTGTAGGTACGAAATTCTACAAATTCGTAAGAAGATGTCGTCAGAACATAGGCTTGGAGCATTCTCCGCCGGTGCTGCCATCATCGGAGAATACATACAGTGTGTCCCCGGATTGTCTTTACAAGAGGAAAAAAACTTTTTTGAAAAACAGCAAGGAGAAAATATGTTTCTTGTACCGATATCTACCAAACCTGAAAATATTTGCACTTATGTAGAGGCTTATCCTGTATATCTTGGTTATCTTTGTTTTGTAAAATTAAATATGTCTATTTTTTATTTGTTTGAGGTTCATACGTTATTTACTACAAGGGGTATTTCTTACAAATACTATAGTTATAAGTTTTTAAAGACGTTATTGCAAAAATATGTGGCTTTAAAATTTTATAAATCTTTTTTTTAATTTTATTTTAACTTTAATTTTATTTTTTTCAGATTCACCAAGAGGCTTTTTGTTCACAATCTGAGTAAGTCATACATCATACATTTCTGTTGTAAAATATACTAATATTTTCATATAAACTTGTCAGTTGAAATGCAATCTAGAAAGAGAAACGTAGTAAATAGTAAAGTAACTTCTACTTGTAACACAATAAAAAAATAAAATATTAACAATATTTTAATTTTAATTTTTTATATTATCTACATATATGTATAAAATGCTAATGTTTATCTGTGTCGTCTCTACTGAAGTAACGACTTGCTCTAGAAAGTTGTTTTTTTTACTAAAAGATAGCTAATTGGCTCTTCTAAAAACTGTCGTTGCCGGATTTTTTGTTTTTCATTTAATTAAAAAATAATAAAAAGTGTTATTTTCCTGATCGTGGCGGATGCGCCAGGCTTCAGCTAGTAATTATATATAAACAATAAAAATTAAAATATTCTTCTTACGGGCCATAACCACAGTTTAGATTGAGAGCTAGTCGACTTTGTTAGTTTTTGGGGCTGGCTAACTGGAATTTAAATTTCCCGCTGGGGATTCGGGTGGTAGCTCTGCTCTAAAAAATGTTAAGTTGCCACATTTATTTATTTATTTCCTGAGATTGTCATTCTTTTTGACACTTTAGCTTTGTATTACCAGTTTTTGGTTTAAATGAATTGTGTTGTGATATTTTAAGCTTAAACATTTTTACTAGCAGACCTTGCAGTCGAACATTGTTCTTTTTAGAACCTCTTTTAGTGCGAAGCGGTACAAGATTGCTTAATAGTCGTAAATAACTCATCGCAACTTTATTAGAATATGTTGAACTGGAAAGCGATAGTAATGACCCTTTTTGTCCCTTAAGTGCTGTTAAGGAGGTGAGTTTTGTTGATGTAAATAATAACTGTTTATATATTTACAATTAATTTATTTTTGTTTCCTAAAATATTTTGATTAAAAGAAAATATGTAAAAGTGGGCAACGCTGTGCCGGTCAAGATTAATCACGTCACTATAAGTTTATTTGAAATGAACTATAGTTTTATTCTGGTTCGTTTCAAGAACGGTAAACTAATAGGATTGCTCATCCTCATAAGACGTACGTTCGCCTCTTCCCGCGCTTCAGCTGACAGTTGTGACGTCATTGTAGTCCTTGTCAAAGCCTTCGTGGCCTTGTCATGATAGTGTGTATTATTAGTTGCCTATGGTAAACTTATAAAAATTACAGCTGAGAAATTTTGAGTTAATTATTTTGTCAATTTTAAATGTGAAAAAGGTGTCTTGTCTATTGTGAAAAAAAAGTTTTTAGAGCTATAGAGTGTATAAATACGTTCATTTTGTGTTGTGGATTGTGACAAAGTGCATACTAAGTGCCCACGATTTTGTTTATTAATTATTAAAGCAAAATATGGAAGTACTCTAAAAAGAATGCTTGCAAAAGGTGATGCTGGGAACTGCTGTTCTTAAAAATGCATTATCCGAGTATTTAATACGATTTATACAGTTAATTTTCTATACTGCATACATATAAGGTGTTTAAATAAATAAACTAAATAACAAACGTTTTGCATTCGGCAACCAATAATGCACGTGTTATTGGTTACCGGATAAGGACTAATAACCATGACAAGGACTACAATGACGTCACAAAGCGAGTAGTTTTCGCATGCACCTGGCGGACACTTTTGGCTGAATGATCAGTCCTATTAGGTTAACTGTTCTTGGGTTCGTTTCAAAGCGATATTATATACTATAACCAAATGTAGAAACGAAAAAAAAAAACTAACACCAGAAGAATAACTATAACAAAGAACTAAAGCTAGTGAATAACTAATAAATAAAAGAAACGAAATACATTTCTACATAGATTTAAAAAATGAAGTAACAGATACTTCTTGATAAAGATAACTACACACCAATAAAAATGTCACCGGTATTGCGTGAGTCTGTCAGTTGAAAACGTTATTTTCAAAACATGTCTGTAAACAGTTTTCTTTTGTTTTATTTCTTATATAAGATGTTGCTTGATCGAAATAAAGCGAGAGACCGCGTCGAAAAGAGATCTGGTATCGTTGCCAGTTGATCTCTTTGAACTGGTTCCGTCGCTTTCTCATAAAGAACACCGACCTCTCGATTTATTCAGCAATCCGCAATAAAGATAGCAATTTCTAGAAAACGTCGCCTTTTGGCCGCCCGCCCTCGGAGTGATAAATAATACAGATTTTTGACGGATCGACGTGTTAAATTTATTGGTACACTGTTTCATTTACTGTCCTTCACTCACGAATTTCAAATTAGAGATCTTTAAGCCTGGGCTACTCGAGAACGGTTTTGAAAGGAGCTGTGCGTGATAGACTGGTGCATAAACATGTCAATTGTCAAGTTAAAAACATTGTCAAACTTGAAAAAGTTAATCCCAAAGGATGAATAAAGTGGATATTGGTTTCTCCATATCTCCATAATTTTTAAATTGGGAACTAAAAAAAGTGGTCAACCGTCAATCATTATTCTTAACCTCACTTAAATAGCTGGAAACTCCGAGCATTGATTTATAGGAAGGTGCTCCAGGGGAAATGGGATCTCGGCGCGGAATAGTTCTGAACTTTATGACTCCAATTGAATAATGGAGGGAGAGTATCGCGTTCTTGGATAGTTCAGAACTGCACAACTGCGTGAATGGAGGACAGTAATTGTGTGTATTTTAGTTAAATATTGACGAAGACAATGACTAAAGATACAAGGACGTCTTAAGCGGCCCATACATTATCAAACAAATTGCGCAACGCAGGCTGTTGCGCAACGAGTTGCCAATGTATGATAGTGTTTGATGCGTTGCGCAATTGTTTGATGAGTTTCAAGAATATTTGAATTCTTTTGTGCAACAGGACTGTTTGCGCAACGTGTTGTGTAGTGTATGTGTGTGTTGCGCTTCGTTGTGCAATATTTTAGTTCTTTCATCCAAATTCTTTGTTTTCTTTTTCGTTTTTTGGTATCATTGACATCATCTAGGGTATATACGATAATAATTGACGCAATGGCAATTGAGGACATGATTGTTTCTTAAACAATGCACAACTTTTAATAAAACGTTTGATTAAAATTTTACTAAGTGCATGGGTGAGGCAGTCGTGCAACGGAACATTGCGCATCGCTTTGTTGCGCAACTTGTTTGATAGTGTATAGACCACTGAATCAGTTGTGCAACGCAACGTTGCGCATCGCTTCGTTGCGCAATTTGTTTGATAATGTATGGGTCGCTTTAAGACGCATACAGGGTGGCGCCTCTCATACAACGCGGAGGCTCCAAGAAGAACGGTAGTTTATATCGAAATGAAATTTTGGCAGCACGTTTAGGTTAATTGAAAGCATTTCATAAAAATATATAGATTTATACAGGGTGTCCCCCAAAAAAGTTACACATCAAAGTTGTGTTTTTTGTAACGGAACACCCTATATATTAATTGATTTTCGGATTTTAGGAAAAAAATAAAGGTGAGTTTCATTAAAGAAGCATATACCTAAAATGTAAGTATTTTGACATATGTATTTCACATTTTGTGAAAATGAAGAGTAAATTTTAAATTTCAATAACAGCTACCTAAATTTTAGTTGACCTTGTATAGCCTGATATTGAATTACAGTAACCATTGAATGTTAAACGAAATTAAAATTTGACCCGACAAATTATACAGGGTGAGACGAAATTAATATGAAACATTAGTCACTTTTAAAAGCAAGTTACTCCTTTATTTTAATTGGAACACTCAGTATATTATTCCGGTGTTCATTGGGGAATTCATATATCTTCAAAATATTATTAAGGTTGCCCATTTCTCAGACAAAGATATTTTAATTTTTATGAGTTTGCGTCAGTAGATCTTTATTATTTATTTGAAAAAATCTAGGGTGGCTGTGATATACGTTTTGTTAACTTAACAGAAATTAAAGGTATACTCAACGGTAATAAAAAATACACGTTTAAAACAAATTTTAGTTATTACAGACTAGATAAGTAGATATAAACCTAAATTATTATGTGACAAAAATTAGCTAGATGAAATCAAATGCTGAAAATGCTTCTTTTTCTGTTAACTGCATAAAATGATTGCCTTTTTAAAAGATCTTTTCATTTATGAAAGGCATATGTGGAGTTTTACTTCGAAAAGTAGCTACAAGCATTTCTCTCATGTCGTCGACAATAGTTGGTCGAGTTTTGTAAACACTGTCTTTAACATATCCCCATAAAAAGCCCAGCCTAGATAAAAACAGGAGGCTTTTAGTATTCTATTAATTGGTGAATGTATACTGCATTCACCAACTAATAGAATCATATCAATTCTCTGATGTGGAATAAGCTTGCATTTTCGGCAAATTTCTGGGAATTTTTTTTGTTTTAAATGACACAAAATGATAACTAGCTGTTAAAGTTGGACTAATTAGTGTAACTGCAACGACGTCCAGTCATCCTGCTGTTAAAACAAAACAATTAGTTTTTACATATAAAACCAACTGTTATGTTTTAACAGTAGGATTACGGGAGGTCGTTGCAGCCACCCTTAGACAGCTATATTGTGAAGTAACGTCAGACATATCACAGCCACCTAGATTTTATCAAATAATAAAAATCTACTGACACTAAATCATATAAATGAGAATATCTACAAAAATCTTTGTTTGAGGTGTTAAGACAACCTTAATAGTATTTTAAAGATCCCCATTGAATATCGGAATAATATATTTAATATATTGGCTGTTCCATTTAAAATAAAAGAATAACTTCCTTTAAAAGGTGCTCAATGTTTAATATTAATTTTGTCTCACCCTGTATAACTTTTTGGATCAAGTTTTAATTTGATTTAAAAGTACAATAGCGTAATATAGCACTTAATAATCTACATACTGTCGAGAGTATTCATGCTGAGCAGACAGATTCGTGGCCTTTTAAGGTACGAGTATATCGTTGTTATGTTTTTATAGGTGAATCGTTGAATGCTACAGCATAGATAATAAATAAAATAGTCCCTAGATTTTCATATTTGTCTCTCAT